AAAATAATATATAAATTAATCAGTATTTTTCGCTCTATAAGTTAATTTTGGGATTAAGAAGTTATTTAAGTACAAATTTTAAAGAACTTTTTAATTTTTTTATTAAAATAAATAAAATTCTTCTAAATTTATATCCAAACCATTGTATTGTTAGAAGAATGTTTAATTTAAATTAATCATTGATCACTTTTTCATTCTAGTTCATGCCACATAGGTAAAGTAGTCAATATATTGGTTATGGCTAAACAGGAAAATCATGAGCAGCAGAGCTCATGTGAAGCAACAAAGAGTTTGATTTCATGGCACTTTATTTATTTATTTTTTTCAATGAAATGGGAAATAATAATGAAATAAAAGGAAAACCAATAAAGGGAACTTTTCATGGTGGCGTAAGGGATACGTTCGAGAAGCCTTTGACACCCTACAAATACCCCCCACCATTTCCACTACTTGCAGTGCCATCAACCACAGCCATTCCTCTAACATCATCATAACCCTCACCCTTTCTTCCTCCTTCGCAACTCGCACTCCCAGTGGTCTCAAACTAGACCTCTGTTGGATGCTGTTGTGTTGCCTCAGGTAAACAAATTCTCTTTTAGTTTTTCAACCTTCCATTTGTTCATTTTTCTTATGTTCACATGCATGTACTAGCAGCATCAAGTTATGTTAAACACTTAACTAGTTAACTAGCTCAGTGTGCCAGCATGTTAAGATCATTATGGATCAAAAAATAAAACAAAAGCTCAGTGTGCCAGCTTCTAGGGTTATAATTTTTTGTTATTCTTTCATGCAGGTAATTAAGTAAGTAAAGTACTTGTGTTGTGCTTTTCTTTGGGTTACTGAAGAGTGAAGATGCAGAAGCAGGGCATTGTAACCATTTTGGGCTCTAACCACGATGCTGCCACTTCCCTTCGAAGGACACTATCCGCAGACATGTCCTCCAAGACATGGCTTTCTCAAAACGGGTTTTCTTCCATGAAGAAGATCGCTTCCTCCGAAGAACTCTCTCACTCACTCACAAAATCTTCCACCACGGACTCATCATCATCCCCGTCCGAAGAAGAGTTGCAAATTTGGAACACAACTCAAAAGAAGGAGCAGCCAGAAGAGTTGGACATGTGGAGCTCAATTTTGTCACAGAAAGCCAACGATGAAGCATCCAAATTAACCGCAACAACACCTTATGTTCACCCACTCATGAGAAGGTCCAAGAGTTGTTTGAGTGAGAAGAGTCTCCAGATATGCACGGAGAGTCTTGGATCCGAAACTGGCTCAGATGGGTTCTCATCTGAGACAGGGGATTCAGAAGAAGAAGAAGAAGAAGAGGAGGAAGAGAAAGTGAAAGAGATTGAGCAAATGACACAGGAAGTGGAGGAGTTGCACGTGCGAAAACTACATAACTATGGTACTAAGAAATCCTTGTCTTTGCCTCGTTCTTTTCCTCCTCCGCTCCCTTCACTCCACATGCGGTCTCACCGCGACAACGGAAGGTTGTTCCTACAAGCCGTGGAACTTCCTTCGCAGAACAACTTCTGCGCTCAGCGAGAAAACGGTCGCCTTGTCCTCACCTTCGCCCCCGGCGAGGAAGTGGAGGAAGAGGAAGAAGAAGTGATGAAAATTGAGGGAGATGGTGAGGCAGAGGAAGCAGAAGCACCCATGTTGGTGTCTAGTGGGATGAGGCTAGCATTAATGATGAATAAGCCAATTAAGTTAGGTGACACCACTATTACTATGAGTCCAAAATGGTCGAACGAGGTGGTGAATTTTAAGGATGTTGATGTGGTGCAACATAGTCCACTTCCACCTAGGCCAAGGGTGAGGTCAATTCCCCCAACTATTTCAGCTGCTTTCAATGCTTATGAATACTATTGGAGGACCAAGCCTGTGGCAAAAGCTTCTAAATTTCAACAATGTTTGGAGAACAATTTGAAGACTTGCAAGGATTCTAGGAGGCCTTTTCTGTTCTGGGAACCCTATTGCATTGCTACTTGACCTCACTCATTGGTCATTGCTAATTGAAAACTTGTGTTACTTAATTAACTACTTATATTACTCTAGTTTTTTCTCTCTACTCAGTTCCACTCATTCAGGGAGCTGTAGTGAAATAACAGGAGAAAGGGATAGGGAGAGAAATACTTGATTTGTAAGATCAGAGAAATTACTTGGACAGTTGGATAGTGCATGTCATATTATTGTATCAATCCGTCCATATATGCTATTATTAACAATTGTATAATATCAAAGTTTTTCTTTGATTTCGTTGACTGTCTTGTCCTCTCTAAATTATCGTGATTTCTTTTCAACCTTTTTTGTTTTGCAATATAGGCCAATGGGGTTTCGCAATTGGTCGTGACCTGCATAACTGGTCTTGTGTTTTGGGAACACCACGATCCATTCGTGATATTTTTGCCTCTCCACTCATGAGGTTAAGTGGCTGTTACGTGCTTGACATGGATAATTGTTTTTTTATTAATTAATTTCTCTGATGTATCATATCTAAAGTTATTATCGCCAATGGACCTTACAAAATCGTCTTTTTATGACTTGATTAAACACGGAAAACAATGATAGAGAGCAATGACAAATTGACAACATCAACAACTTTTAATTGAATTATATTATATTTTAGCTGCCATTTTCCGTTGGTGATGAAACCACTAATGACTGATGAGTAAAAAGCATTAAATAACATAACTTTAGCAATTACCACTGACCAGTAAGGAGTGTGATTTTGCTTTCAGAAAGTTTATAATGGGTATTGCATGTTTCATGTGTTAATCAGTAATCACTGCCCTGTTCGCAATGTATCCTATATTTTCCTTTCTAGAAAAAACCACTTGTATATAAGCCAAACCAAGGAAAGTGTGCTGTGTGCGCTGGATACGCTCTACTCCTATTTTATATGCGCTGCGATGAGCCTTTGGAAATGTAACAAAAAAAGTAGTGGGCTTTTATCAAGTGCTCTTCTTAGGCTTTTTTTCTTTCTCCATTTTATTCGAGTGGGCTTTGGTTTTGATTGAACTGAATTACCACCAACAGTTTTTATTTATGGTCCAACCTTAAGGCTAAATAAGGATTGTTATAGATGTAAATTCTGGGATGGATCTAATGGCTAGTGAGGGTACAAAAGAAAAATATGAAACATCAAAAAATTTAATTTAGAGTAATTTTAATAAAATAAATTTGATGTTAGATACACAAAATTGAATTAATATTTCTGTTATGTCAATAAAAAAGAAACGTTATAAAAAATTAACAATAAAAACTTAAAAAATTACAAAATTGTAAATATAAAAACTAAAAAAAAAATATTTTAAATTATAGGATTAAAAAAATTGAAAAAGATAAATATAGAGACTAAAATATTTTTTTTTTAAAATTATAGAGGTTAAAAAATAAAGTAAATAAAATTACAACACGAAATGATAGTTTTTCTAATTATATTTTTGGGATTCTTTTGTTGCTTTGGTTTCCTTAATCTACCATGACAAATAACTTCTGGATCTCAAAAGATTTGTGCATTTCATAGCTTCTAAGTTCTAACTATTCAAAATCATTGATTTGGAGGTGTTTGAAAGAATAATTGAAAAAATAAAATGGAATACTTTGATCAGGTTTCAGGGGTGAAGGCTAGGATGAGAAACTCCATTTTAACCATTAGATAATTTAATTTTAAAATTTGTGGGTAAGATTTTTTCTTTTCCTCTATTTTTTATTTCTCTCCTGATTTACCCTTTCCCTAATATCACATCTCTAATACCAAACTCATGTTTATCCTTGCTGCCACCACAAATTATTCTCCTTCTTCACCACTTTTGAGGGTTTTGCAATGGGTTGTGTGGCAATGAGTCACAGTCGTTGACAACACTATTCAATTTCATAATATCTACTGTTCATAGTGTACTATGTCATTAGTAAGAAAGAAGATTTTTTAAATATTTTTTTTTTATTTATTATCACCATAGATAAATCGGGAATTTTTTTTTTAAAAATAAGGTAAAAGAAGAAATATTTTTTTAACCATTGGTTTTAAACCTATTCAATTTAATGAATAGAAACTCCTTTCCCATTCCCGTAGTGGGAGACATGTATCGAACAAAATACAACAAATACAAAACAATTTTTTTTTTTTTTATCAAGTTTTATTGATTCATCTCATTAATAAATACTTTTCCTTTTCTATCTCATTGTTCGTTTTAAAGCATCGTTAGCTTTAGTTATTCATTCTCTTAAAAGAGATGTAACAATAAGACTTTTTAATTCAGTAATACTTTCGCTTAAATATGCTTAAATGTAGTTTTCATAGGAGCCAATACATAATGAGATTCTTATTTCTGTTTGTCTTTTCACATTTGTCTTTTGATAACTTCCAATTTTAATTCATTATTTTTGAAGTTATACATGTTGTGGGTTGATTTTATAATTTTTTTTGTGCTATCACTCGTCAATGCAAATAATTTGTGTATACTTTTGTCTTTATCTCTCTCTTAATAAGTCTTCCAATTTTGATTTTCTATTTTCGAAATTATATTAGTTGTGGTTTGATTTTATAATATATTTTTTTCTTTCCCTCGTTAATGAAATGCAAAATAATTCGTGTATTTTTGTCTTTAACTTGACTTAATTATATAAAAATACGAATGTAAAAAATATATAAAAAAAACCGATTCAACATTCAGAATTATCTTGCGTGTATATATGTTTTTCTTTCAGACTTTTAATTTAAACCTTATATCTGAGAAGTTAATCACTCATATCTTGTAAGTGTAAATTTTTTTTTATACTAACAACTAATCATATTTTTTAATAATACCATGTTATTTACTTATTTAATTAAATAAAAATAAAATAAAATAATTTAAAAATATGATTGATTATTAATATAAAAAATTTTACATTGGTCGTATATGGATGATTAACTCATATCAACATTGTATTTCTTAATTAAAATGCCTTAAGATTTAAAATTTTTGAATATAAAATAAACATAGTAAAAGAAAATGGGCCAAGTATAAAGGGTTGTAAAGTTTCAGAAGCTGTGGTTCGTTAGCAGAACTATCTTGTGGTTTGAGAGGATTCTGGAAGTACGATCGGCGAATCAGGTTTTGGCTTCTGAATTCCTCGGAAAGGAAGGAAGCAAAAAAAAAAATAAAAATGGGAGAGACAAACCAATCGGCCCCCATCGATGACGAATTGCTTCTCAAAAACTTCTTCGCCGAAGTCAGCGAAGTCGAGAGGGACAACGAAGTCCTTAGGTACCTCTCTCTCTCTCTGTTTCTGCATATATAATTTTTGTGTGTTTCGCTCTGGTTATGTGTTTCCGAACTGTGATTTTCTGTTGCTCTTTCTCTTTTTCGTGTTTTGTTTTTAATGTATGCGCATGTTGTTGATATATGTTTAGGTTCGGTGGTGATTAGGGTTTCTGTACGGTTGTTTCCGTGTAATTATTGCATCTGTTGGAGAATTTATTGTGTTGTTGGAGCGTTTGCTTTTCATTTGCATTCGATTCGGATCACCGAAGTTTCGCGAGCTAAGATCTTTGCGTGATTCAAAATTTGTGTCGTTTTATTTGTTGGAATTTGGATGATGATGCCTGTATGTGAGGATAGAGATATATTATTAGCGTTTTTAACTTTTTTACTTGCAATGTTGAATTTGAATTCTTCATAGATGCGATATTTGTGTTGGAGTTTTCATGAAACGGGTGAATCTTAGTATCAACAAAGAACTGTGCGACATTTGGCCTATAAGGATGTCCTTGTACAGGGAAGAATGAAATTCCTTCAGATGAGTGTTCAATTGGCATTTTTGATTGTGACTGGAAAGAATCATTTGAATTGGAGATAGTGTTAGCATTGTATATATTGCACTCGTCACTGGTTGGAATACGGTGAGTGTTCTCCTTGAGGGAAGATATGACGAGCATGTCACGAGGTGTGAAGGATGGAAGTGAAATCAGTAGCTGATGGTTAGTTAACAATGAACCTTAGCTGAATGATCCCAAAGAAAGCTTTGAAGCTTCAAAAATGGGGTCAAGCTTGTGTAGTGAGTGAATTTTAAGTGAATATATTCTTCAATTTGTAATTTTAAAGATGTGTTTGGTTCTCGTTGTTACCAAATGTTTATGTGGAAAATAAGAATTTTTGTTATTGTTTCGAGTTCTATATGCTCTCTACTTATCAACATTCTCTGGGTTTTGGTCTCCACAGGATTCTCTCTTGTTTTAAGTTGAATCCATTTGAGTATCTAAACCTATCATTTGATTCATCAGTTGATGATGTGAAAAAGCAGTACCGCAAGGTAACTTCTTCCACTTGCTGAGGTCTGTTTTAAGTTTTAGCTGTTTTGCTGGCTTCTTTAACATACTTTTGTCAATTTTTTGTAGTTATCATTAATGGTTCACCCTGACAAATGTAAGCATCCACAGGCCAAGGAGGCTTTTGGAGGTATGTGAATACACGCTTTATGATAACTTTTGTGGAATTAAACATTTTACTTGTTTATCTTTGTTTCTATCTATTTGAACTTGTGAAGGAAATAGCCAAAATAGTTATTGTATAAGAATAAGACTAGGCGATTTTTCCTTCTTGAGCTAGTTTTTAGGGTTGAGTTAGACCTTATTTATTCTAATAGAACTATATTTATTTACTTCATTTTTCAGCACATGATTTTTTCTTGAGTCCTAAAAGTTGTGGCTGTGATCATAGAACAGTAAAAAAAAAACCCTAATAAAATTATATATACTTCTTTAACCAAAGACATAATTTAGTTAGGGACAATAGCTTGAGTCCCAAAGTTGATAATTGAAATATGTGATATGGGGTTGAAAATGGCATGTAATAGTGTTGTGGCGGAGTGGAGCAGCCCCTGGCCGCAGTGAGGCCCTCTGCAGTGGCACAGTTCAGTGTCATGGTTGTAGCTGCCAAATAGCGGCTGGTACAGCACAACAATTCTGTTTTCCTAAAAAAATCGTGACACTTATCTCCCTCATTTGATGCTTCTCCCTCTTGCGTGTCTCCCATCTTGCTGTCACATCTTTTTCAGCCATCTTTGAATGCGGCCTTCTTTGGTGGCATGCGGCCATTCTGCAAGTGTTACGCCTTCTGCTGATGTGCATGTGTCTAGTGTTGCAGAAACAGCAGACACGTTTCTCCTTATTTTGGAGAAAAAAAGATGGTTGAATTCTGTGAGGAGGTGGTGGTTGAATGGCTGATGGTAGAAAGATGCTAGGGTTCTTTTCATTTCTAGAGTCAGAGAGGATGCTGGGCCTATACCCCAAAATTGGGCCCTTCTATACCCAAAACAGTCCTGTAATTTGGGAAAGTTGCTGTTTTATTATTAATAATCATATTTTATATTTTTATAAAACTATAAGATACTCTATAACATTTAAGAATATATAAAAATATAGAAAAACATTAATACATAATTATATATTATATAATAGAGAGAAATATACAAATATAATTATGATAAATATATATAAATAGAAAAATATAATAATTAAATAGAATTAACATAATATTAAGAAATATATATAATAGTAATAATAATAAGCAATAGAATACTCTCACACACATTAAAAATTCAGAACAGTGGCCATCCTGCTATGAGCTATTGCGGTTTAGCATTTTTGGGGTTGGCCGTTGGCCACTATGCTCTGCTATCCTGGATTTAAAACATTTATGCAATATAATACACTTTACCATGAAGTGGGAATAGGTCAATGAAGAATGGATTACTTAATAGAATAATTTTTAGACCAAAAACTCAGACGGATAGTGAGCAATTTATTTTCGTCATCATTAACCTTAACGCGTACAGGTTAATTTCTCGACATAAAAAAAAAAATTATTCATTAGGAACAAACACATGAGCATAAACTGCATCGCATGCATATGAGTTAGGGGCATATGGAAGGGCGTTACTCAAAAAATAAAAGAATCATTCCTGTCTTGCATTTTCATTGCATCCATGCATTATACTTGCCATGGTCAAAGGGAGTCGTCGAGACAAAGCATTCGTAAAAGCTCAACAATCAAACAAGCAAGCCTATAAGCATGAAGAGGCCATCGTGCCTTGCTCTTCACCAAATGAAGGATAATTCAAAAAATGTCAAGACCAGGAATGACTTCCTAATCAAAGCCAGAAGTGGCTTCCAAAACAATACTCTTCAATAAAGATTCA